ATCTCTTCTTCATGCACTTTCATACGAAATGAAGGTCCCTCTAACAATGTTATTTCAGGAGATTCATCGACACCCAGTTTCTCTTCGTATCAGCAAAGTTATCGTCCATATAATAAACCACTAACTTGGGAGCTAGGAATGCTTGCTGAAAGACAAGATGTTATAATTTGGTCACGCAGTTATTAGCTAAAGTAGGAGTTAAACAGGATTTCATAGTGGAGCACCTCGTTCGTTTATACAACTTGCTATTTGCAGTAAAATATGTATTCGAAGGTATGAAGACCAAGATGGTGTGGCCTTTTGTGTAGTCGTAGTCTCCTTTCGTTGTATACAAGTTACTTGACCTTGTTTTCGCAACTTGGTCATATTGGTAGGAAGACTTAGTGGAACGCACCTAGTCCGGAGTCCATTGTATACATGATAATTTCCTAAGTCGGACCGTCGATGTGGTACATTTCCAGACGTTTCGCCGGCATCGTAGTCGGCATCGTCAGTGAGTCTTGCCATTCTTAGCACCACACTGCAACACGTCAAAGAGAGAAATGAAGCCGATCCTTTGACCAAACGTGTGCTAAACAGTAATGGTATCTCTTCTTCTGCCCTAGTCTATTCACATTTCCTATATCCTCATATCACGCTTTCACTGTTAAAATCGTTTACAGTGCTTATTTAGATGTAGTGTGGTGTGCTTCTTTGAACAAAATTCATGAAAACCTTCCACACTCCAAACTGCCGTTCTCACCCCCCTTAACCCTTGTTCTGGGAATGTCGAGCGGAGTCTGTCTTTGTTACGCAGTCCTCCTTCCCTAGGTCTTATCAGAGTCTCCCTCTTTTACTTCGTGAGATCCGTCTGCTATCTCCCTGGTTCACGTATTTCACCCGACCCCTGCCACTCCACCTGTGCTACTCGAGGCAATATTACACGTCCCCTGCGTCTGGGTTACTTATTCGAGACTAAAGTTTCTGAGTAAGTCTCATGGTTACGGCCTTGCAACATGGATCACGTCTATGGTACAACTGACCTACTGTCAGCCAACTTGCTCCATTCCCCTTTCTCTATCCTGTTTTTATTTTTAATACCAAGTCTATGACTTGCTATGCCCTATTCTCTTGTGTGCCAGCCCACAAACGTTGTGATTTAACATTGAACCTAATCAAGGCAAGCACTTGTCTTTGACGAGTTGCCAAGACTCACTGACGATGTCGACTATGATGCCGGCAAAACGTCTTTGAATGTACCACGCCCACGGTCCGACTTTGGAAATTATCATGCATACAATGGACTCCGAACTAGGTGTGTTCCCTTAAATTATCCTACCAATATGACCAAGTTGTGAAAGCAAGGTCAAACAACTTCTATAAAATATGTATTGTTCATTGACAAATCAATTAATCTAATGATTGAATCTTGGACTTACCTTTACCTACTATGATTTCAGGAGGTTAATATAGCATAAACTACAATGCTTTTATTGCCTCTTTTATCGGAATAGTAGTGGCCTTAAATCGAAGCTTACCAGCAACTCTCTTTCTATCGTCAGCTAACCAACTGGCTCTCTAAATTCGCAATGGTTCTTTATATTAAACTTAACGTTCCGGTAATTTGATCTGGGTACAAATAAATCTTCATGCTTTATACATCACGTCACCTCCATTATTTACAATAATGCTAAGTGGTGTATCTTGCTTGTAAATTTTGAGCAGACCATACGCGTTTAGGAGCCAAGTATTTCACTAGAGAAGTAACGTTCATTTTCCACTTTTCCAGTTTTCTGCTATTTACACATTGTTGAAGAAAATCTCTAAATCTGATCTTAAGGTCTTCTGTGGGTTCCTGATCGTAGCTTAATATGTTGCATAATCATCTGGTGCCTCTAATATTCTCTCAGTCCTATCCATAACGGCCAACGCTCTTCCTTTGTCTGCCCTCAATTCTAATTGGCTTAATTATAATAGTGTCCGGTTCTTATATGATGCTTCTATGTGACCATTAATTCAAATTTCAACTTGTAATTCAACGCCACTCCTGGTATCCTCTAGGAAACTATCGGTTACGCTTATCGGTTCTAACAAAATTCTCTCCTTGAAGTCCTTACCATTTGGAAGGATAAAGCTTAAGCCCTTTGATAGGACCTCCTCTGTAGAAATATACCATGAAGTTTTGCACAGATTTACCATTTATGCCAACGGCTTTTTTCACTTTCAGCCCATTATACATAGATGATTTGCTTAATTTTCATAATTTCGTATCATGTTTCTTTCTAACCCGTCCAAAAAGGTGGCGTGCAATCTATCAGTTATTCTTTGGCATTAGAAAGTCTTACAAGTTAAGAGCCTCGGACAAGCTTTGCTTAAGTTTAATATTAGTTCTAATTAATGAGTGCAGCTAGGCAGTATTGGCTTTAAGTCTAATATCAACTAAATCATTGCATGTCCAATAGCTCGATCTTAGCCTTACAAGAAAAATTAGATCTAGAAATTACCCAAAATCTAGGTATAATTATACGGAAAAATATGACTGTGATTGACTTGCCTGGCCAACGATTTCTTGTTTTTTTTGTATATAATGACGAATTCTGAACAGAATGAAAACCGTACGCACTTCGAAGATATAATGAAAAACTGGGTTTTGAAGGGAGAGAACTGTCGATAAGCGATGATAAGGTCAACATTTGGCTGATCTTAAATTGAATAACTGGGAGTATTCTGACTTTCTTGCAAAAAATAAAAAGCTGGGTTGTAAAAACCGAATAAGAAAAATGATTTATAGTGCTGAAAGAAATGTTGTAAGGAAAAAGTGCTAATATACTAATGACTAGGGTGAAGGGTTAATGGATAAAATCATACACTAGCATATAAGGAAAATATATTTAGCAGACTGGCGAGCCAGTAGTTTTCGACAGAATTTTGATGTGTATAATGACTTACTTCGACTATAAGACGATCAGCCACCTGTGCACGAATGCCGTCCTCACCAAGAACTTCAATGACCATCTGATGAAGTTCTCCATGTCGTTCGCGATCTAAGTGAATACGCGTCACTAAAAGACCTGTGTTAGGTGTCACCATGAAGAGATCGTCTGCTGGCCAAGAACTCAATCCGGGCTGACCTGGCTTAGTATAGGTAGAGGTGCGTAATAGTCGGAAGTGACGTGGAGAGAGATTTTCAGCGCCAGAAGATAGTGGCTCGATGAGACGAGAAAGAGTGGCTATAACAAAGCCTGAAGAGAGAACGCAGTTTTGAAAATGTTATGGCTCGTTTTAGAAAATTGATAAAGCAAGCAAACTATAAAGGGAGCTAATTTAACATGACTAGTATAAGGGCTAAGAGCAATCCATAAAATCCACTTATTAATATAACTTGATATAACATTGAGTCGTGTAACTAGGTTTTCGAGACTACCAGTAAATGAGGCATATTAGATCTGTTCACCCTAAGGTGATGAATGAATGATAGATGAGGCTTCTAAAACGATTATTATACTTAACGTTTCCGTTGAATTTCGCATAGCCTGTATTCAAAAAAATGATTTAATCCACTCGTTATAATAGGAGCTTTTGGGAAAGCAAAGCGATGCGAAATTCATTGGAAATGTAAGATCTACTAATAGCATTGAGGGAAAATTCAACTGCCAGTCTTCATCACCTTAAACGGAATATGGTCAAGCCATCTAGTATAA